TAAACCCTAAACCCTAACCCAGCCTCGCCAGTGGCCTGGCCATGGAGGATCTGTGACTGCGCCAGCCGTCTGCGGAGGTCAATCGCTTTGGCCTGTGTATGGCTGCGGCTGTGTTCGGGTTTAGGGTTTAGGGTTTAGGGTTGAGGGCTTAGGGTTTAGGGTTTAGGGTTTAGGGTTTAGGTTTTTGGTCCAGGGCCCCGCCTAGGTTTTACTTAGGCTGGCTATCATATGATCACTGTATCACTGCATTACTGCTATGCTGAGCCTACTATGACACAGTCTTCTAGGCTTAGGGTGGGGTGCCAGAGTGCCGGTATGCAATGGTATGCAGCTCTCAAGCCAAAAAGCGTGCGATCAAGCTCTTCTCCTCAGGAGCGCTGAGAGAGACCAGATTTGATGCAATACTGTAGAATGTATTGTGATACAATCCAAGTAGACCATAGTAGAATATAGATAGTGGTAATATAGTCATCTAGCATATTAAAACAGTCGCAAGTCTTGCGGGCATGGTGCCAACACATTGCGACTTGTTTCTGAAGGCTTCAGGCAGCGGAACCCCACATCCGGAAGAGTCCCTGTAAAGGTGGCTCTCTGTGACACAACTGCTGAGCCTACGACGTAACGACCGCCCTCGGAGTTCTGAACGGTAAACCCCAAACGCTCTGAAACCCGGAGGGGGGCAAGCAGAACAGGAGCGGGCCTCCTGGTCTCTTCGACGTGCTATCCGCTGCTCAACCACTTGTTGCGTACATGACATCCTTTACACCATGCAAAATAGACCTTGGCAGCGAGGAACCAAAAAAAGCAAGGGAACCACAGCATGTCCGGTCTCGTCTCGTCTGACTTCCTGGCATCTGCGTCTGAGTCGTGTGCCCGGTGGCTGTAGCAAAATTTGGAATGCGGAATACTCGTCCCTGCCCTAAGGGCAGAGATTCGAGCCAAATGCTCCGGCACAGGCTTGTCCACCTCCTTTAAAAGCACTGAAAACCTCTCCTGAGATTCACCGTCAGCCAAGCCCCTCTCGAGCCTTAACCACCGTAAGAGCGCTATCTTGCACATCACCGGTGAAGCCCCGCTGCAAGCGCCGGGCACTGGAGCTGGCAACTGCGCGTTGGCTCCATGTCCTTTGCAAGCTCTTGGGGCGTCGGACCGTTTAGGGTTAGGGGAACAGTGGAAACTTAAGATATGGGTGGTTCTGCACATTCTTCAAAAGTCACAGTCCCCTGAAAGGGTGACCAACTGTGCAAGGATGCTAGCCAAGCGGTTGTAGGTGCCCTGCAGGCGCTAGGAATCGCCTGCCCCTGCCCGACTACTACTGGGCCGAAAAAATCGCGGATGAAAATATAAGGTGACAGGTGCAATTCATGCCGACACAAAGGCTGTGACTTGCTTGCATTTCGACCCGCAGCGATGAGACTATGCAAAAAGCCGCAAAAAGGCATCCAAAGCTTTCAAAGGACGCCAAAGTCAGAGCTTCTGTGAACCATCGCCTCCACCCTTTCAGAAGCTTCAAAGGCCCACAGAGCACCAGAACAGAGGCGGCACAGCTCTCAGCTGCTGAGGGAAGCCATCACATCTCGGGGCGTCGACTGGCCAGGTGTCACGGTCTGGAGAACGGACGGGGACCTGGTCAGAATACTTTCGAACAACTTCCCCGAGCTTGAGACGCAGAGCTGGAGCCAAGGCCAATTCCAGGTAGATGCACAGGTACCGCGGTCAAAAGCGCTGGCCTCAGGGTGTGTTGTCTCTGTGGTAAATCTCAGGCCTTACAGAGTGACAGCCGGGTGCAGTACGCCGGTGCTAGCAGCAGAAAGCCGCTCCACGGTGTCATCCTCGCGCCATAGACTCAGACCATACAAAACAACGTACGAAGTATAGAGTACTGTACATACTTTGGCATAGAGAGTGTATGCATCTCGATGTATGTTCATGCATACATACATGCCTACAAACATACATACATGCATATATGAGGACATGCGGACATACAGACAGCCGGACAAACGAACAGACGGACACGCGGACAGGCAGACAGACGAGAAGACAGACAGAGTATACGTATACTCATGTGCATGTGAATTTAAACCTGTCGCTGTGTGCATGTGTGAAAACTTAAGGGCACGAGCCCGCGAGTTAAGTTTGCAGTCCTCATCTCTATCGCGGGCAGGCTTCGGTACCTCCGACCAGCGGATACTTCCCTCTTGGCGACAAGGTTTCGGGTCTGTTTTTGTGTATTCAGAAGAGCCCGATTGGGCAGATCATGCACAGGCCGTGCCATCGACCTCTGTTTGGTCATTGAAACTCGCTCACCGGCCTAGGTTTAAGGTTTAGGTTTTGGGATTCAGGCTGGGGATTTTTAAGGGATAGGGGTTGAAAGTTTGGGAATTATGTTTGTCGGCCCGTTGTACGTGTTAGAGTTAGAGACTTTAGGTTTAAGGCTTTCTTTCGAGAGGTGTCATTTCGGACAAGACATGCTCTGGCCTTCTCGGGCCTCGATGAGCTCTGCAGCAGAACCTTGACCCACGAACACTCGCTGATCTTTGCACGTGGGGATTTGCGGACTTGTATACTACTGCTGCCACTACGACGAAGTCGACCACTGCAATGACGATACCGACTACAACGACTTCCACGACAGGTCTACATTCTATACAGTATTAAGCTTCCCCAATTCTCTTGGTCTTGGACATCACGTTGAACCCCGGTTCTGTGGCCCGCACGGCCGTGTCAGCATAGCCGTGCAGATTGGCGTAATAGGCTGGGATTCGGCCTATCTCGTCCTCAACATCAGATACCGCATTGCAGATGCTGCAGATAGAAAGGGTGTTATCCAACCGTCTTCAGGTTGAACAAAACCCTCCTTCAAAGCCCCAGAAACAAAAATTGAAAAATACCGAAGTATCCCGTAAGTCAGTCTTCAAGATCCTATAAAAACACCAAACACCCGCTATCAAGCCAAACAAGAAAAACAAAACAAACACAAAACGCCCTGTTTGCAAGGTTTGTCCTCGTGGTTGGGATCCGCACGGCAACCAAGCCTCGACATTCCAGGAACAACCCCAAAAATCCTGAGGGCTCAAACAGGGCTTGAAGGGTGTATAACTGAGGCAGCTATAGGGCCTCTAGAATACAAGGGCTTAGGGTTTAGGGTTTAGGGTTTAGGGTTCTACACCTGTCTCTCAGGTGGCGGCAGCAGCAAGCAGACATCATTCCTCCCCTCTGCCGCAGCCCAATGTAGGGCCGTCCAGCAGGGTCCTGTTTTAGGAGTTCAGCGGCCGTGCTGACTGTGGGGCTACGTTGTGCTTCAGGGCTTCAGGGTTTAGTGTTTGGGGTTTCAGTCTAGCCCAAGGCACGCGCAGCGACGTGACTCCACTGCAGACGGCAGGATGACACTGGAAAGCCTGGAGTTGGGGTTCTGGACCTCTTGAGGAGTCAAGAAAACAAGCAAAGCTCAAAAGCCTAACGATCGAAGGCCCCTTGCACGAGGTGTCCTGAGCTGTCCCGACCATGCAAAGCCTCCCATCCATGCTCCCGGATGATGGAGACTGCGGCCTTGAGAATGCTTCGAAGCTTGCGAGGTGACGCCAAGATAATTAGTCCTGGGCACCCCGAAGAGGTTCTGTTATGTTTTGGGCTACCATCTTGTAGGAACCTACGAAAGCAATTCCCAAGTAACGAAAACACGGGCACCTGCAATAACTTTGACAAAGGCGGCAGTGATAAGCATAACGGTCGCGATGCTGCACTGGTCATGATAACAACGTTAGCAACCAGAACAGGCAGGTGGCGCAGGTGGTAGTGGTAGTGGTAATGGTAGCGGCAGCGGTAGCCCTAGCGGTAGCGGTAGTGGTAGTGGTAGTAGTAGTAGTAGTAGCAGCAGCAGTAGTAGTAGTAGTAGTAGTAGTAGGCGCCCCCCCCCTACCAACTACATT